ACGTAGATGTGCACTACTATGGAGTTTTACACCACGGCGAAACGGCCGCTCAGTACTTCCAGGTTTTTATTGGCGATATAGCTCAGTTTGGCTCGTGTTTTGAACTTCGAAGGTATTACAATCTCTATAAAACCCTCACACTAATTAAATAAAATGCTTGATGCTATTTGCTAAAAATCTGAATTGACAACACGAAGAAAACGCATGATTTTTCACCAGTACGGATCGATATATTACAAATGCAGACAAAATGAATTATTTGTATTTCTTTAAAATGCTGTTTTTGTTCAAGTTCCTTCATTTATTAACACATGTGAGCTTAACCATCCTTTTCAATGTTCGATAAAAGTGCAACATCTAGGATTTGTAAGCATTTCTTTGTTCATTTGTTTAGTGAGTAATATACATAAGAGCATGATTTTCACTTAGAATTACGTTTCAGTCATCTAAAGCCATTTACATATGTCTTCCATTAGTACACTACTGTAAGACATCTCAACTTGGCAGATGACAAAGTAAATAAAGTGAAAGCCAGAGCTTAAAGTAAATTCGTCAGTGAAAACTGTTCTCCGGCTTTCGACATTCACCACTAAGCCAAAGGGAAAATGATGGAAATGTTTGATACTGTATACAGTTTGAAAACTGCGAAGCGGATGTGCTACAAATCCATGAATATGTGTCCGTTATCAGTAACGTCCTAAATATGTAGATCAAAATAAATGGGTTGACGTTAAACTGAACATCAAAAAATTAGAAGCATAAATACAGACTAATACGAAACTGCAGTAAAATGTAAAATACTACTGCTCAGTTTCAATGTACTTTGAAGCTAATTTGTATGTAAGTTAATGATCATATTGGTCTTATACTCTCATAGCTCTCCTTAGTTAATGTGGATAATCATTTTACAAAATCATATAAGCTTTAATTATATTACACTTATTCTGTATTGGCTTTTCCTGTATGATGAATCTTAATATGAATTTCGATTTTAAAAGTAATGATAAGATCAATACAGAAAATAACTCAGAGAATAACTTAGATGTAAATGAAAGATCAACGTTAAAGTAGAAAGATAAAATGATGAGAAATTAATAAATGTTAAAAACAACCTATAATGAAGATTATAAATTATACTATCTAGATTCTCAAAAAAGCGAATTCTAGCATCTGGAAAATACTTTTTATAAATAAAAATGACAAAGTTGAATGATAAATATTGTTTCCTATGATTAACAATTCCAAAGTTATCCTCTTTCTCCCTAAAACCATCATTAAAAGATTGTGCTATTATGTGCCACAGCAAAGAATTCTAGTGGTTTATAACGCACGACATGTAAAAAATTTACATTCATAATGTATTTGATTTAAGATTTTTTGGGACTTTTTGAAAATAATTTCTGGGGTAATCATTCTTGAATTTTATAAACTAATAAAACATGTCACCAACAAATCATTGTATGATGTAATAAGTAACAATGAAATACTTATCAATGTACAGTGGTTCTAAGCACTTGATAAACATGATTGAGGAATTTCATTTTCATCCGTTTTCAACCGAATAATAAATTTACCATATCACACTTGTTATCTCTTACATTTTAGGCTTACCAGAAAACTGTGACAATATATATATTGATCAATTTGTTCAGGGTAATATTAAAGATTTCATTTTATTTAATTGTTTCTATTAGATCTTTGTATTAAAGAAATTGAACATTTACAAAACTTAAAATTAATAAACTATAATTCAGAAAATAATCAAATTAATCCCACTGGTAATATTTTCATTTTAATAATTTATAATATAAATTTAGATTTAAGTGAAATAATTTTTAAAAATAATCTGCAATTAGATACATTTTTGAAAATGTTTCAGTTATCTGGTGAAGAATCCGTTGAAGATCTGGTAAATTTATCTTTGTTTTCTATATCATGTCAGCTTGTTATTGTTTCAAGTTATTATATTTTTAACATCTAAATAAAATATTCATCTATTTACTATTAAAATAAATATAGTCTGAAGGTCTATGATATATATACATTAAAGCTTTATTGATTCTGTCTGTTCTACTTTCTTAAGAAATTCAGATGTAAATGTCATGGTATAACCATTACATCTTGTAAACCTGTTCATATGACAAGTACAAAATACCAACAATTACTAATATATTTATGAACAAAATAACTTAATACTGAAGATTTATTTATTTCACAAAAGCAGACTCCTATTCAAACTATCGCTAACCAAACAACCCATCGATAACATGGTCACTCCGTTCCACAAGATCGAACTCTTCCTGAAAACGGTTGAAATGGTCTGGAAACAATAATTAATGAATATTTATAATCTATCTTAAGGGATATCATAAATTTGAAAAAAAAATAGTAAAGTCCTCATACTCTTTGATAATTTTATTTTAATTGTTAGGATATTCTACAGCATTTTCATTTTGTATGGATGTCACATTATCGAAATCGAGCAAAAAAATGGTAGTCTGTTATGCTATTGATACTGGATTCGGTTCTAATAGAATAAATTCTTGGATTGCAATGTTTTATTATGTTATATTTTAAGAACTAAGTTAACTCTTCCCAAGACTTTATTGATTTGTTCCCACTAAACAATTTACGAGACTTATCTGACAATAAGTTAACCATATTCTTCAAAACTTAAACTAGTATTTAACTTTAGTGAAGGAAAAATACCATGACAGATTTATCATTAAAATTGTAACTAACAGTAAATTGTCGTTAAAAATTTGAATTCCACGATAAATATTTGTCTGGATTAACTAAAAGGAATGAGATCACTCAGAATCTGTTATTCAGGTTCTTCATAAACACTTTAGCTATAGCAAGATTTTTTTGACTTACTAAAGATTTGTAAACGAGTTTAAAGGAGATGGTGTTAATTCGTTAGGACAAAATCTTGGTATAGAGAGTTTTTCAAACTCAAGGTCACTAGTTTAGGTTACGTCCTCTATTTGATCAAGGCAGAATACGTTATAGAACTAACGGTACTCAAATGTGTAGAAACCCACAGTCACAAATCAGAAGACGGAAGAAGAAGGTGAAGTGATTGTCAGGTAAAAACCTAAAATGTACGGAAAAATATAGGTATCTATAGTTATGAGAATTAACTATAACATGATTATAATTCAGCGAATCCTCAAGAAGGTAAGTTGTGCTATCGTCCAATCGTAGCATGCCACGTTGACATTCCAGAGGGCTCTAACAGCTTCTGGTTGGATGGGATTTCTTCAGCTCTTTTAGAACCACTAGAGGCTTCCTCGAGCTTTCTGAAAAAGTTCCAATACTTTAAGATATGGTCGTAATTTGTATTTGCTAACAGTAAGGTTGCTGTCATCTTCCGCATATTCTTAACTGTTACATTAGCCTCATGGTTGATGTATTTCAAGCACTCAACTTCTATCCTGTTAAGTACCTAATCCAACAGTTATTTCGACAAGATGAAGTTAAGCAGATCAGGAATATTACAATATCTGCCTTACTAGTGAACTCACTGATCACTAATGGATGACGGCTTATTAGATTTCAGCACAAATAAAAAGAACAAGCCTACTATTTTGTAACTGAAGCTTTTCATGGTTATTCGTTTCTGTGCATTGAATTTAGGTATTTGTAGCCTTTTCATGTAATGTAACTGTCAGATTTCGGTAACATGACAGGTTTGAGGATATTGTCATGGATGTTTTTAAGCATAATTCACCTGTGGTATTAAAGTCAAGTATTTAATGACAGGAATATGAGAACTTGTTTAAAGAAAATGAATAGGCTGAGGAAGAAATCGATCCTTGTGAATTATAATGAGTCATTTGTATCTTAGGGAAAACATTGGAATGAATGACTACTTCAAGTGATCTCTCAGTAACAGGAGAAAAATCAAGAAATTTGTAGAATTTTCGTTTAATCATTTAGGAAACAATCGATCTATTCATTAACGTCCCTATGTAATAAAAATCAGTTGTGAAATTTATGAACACTTAAATAAAATTTAATAGAGAGAACATCTTTTTAAGCAACAACTATACTTACATTACAATAAGTTGACATAGAGCACAGTTCTTTCATCGGAATTTATGAATAGGATTATAATAGCATAGAATTACTGGGTGCAGAAAAGTCAGACTCACTGTTAAACGATCTCTTCTTTATTCAGAGTGTATGTTAATCGTTTAATAAAGCCAAACAAATCCCGTTTCCAATTTTAACAGAAAAGGTTTTGATTTTGCAGAGAATAGTTTGTATTTGATCAAGTTTATTACTACATGAAGATAGGTCGACTTCAGCACTATGTAAATTTTGTTATTTAGATGCTTCGCATCTTAAGGATAAAATGTTGGTATTTAAGTAAGTTATGCTAGAGATCACTAAGTTGTTTATAATATTAGATGATATTTTATAAAACACTGTAGGGAACACCAGTATTTTTACAGTTGTTGCGGATAATTTTTCTCTCCATATTTCTTGTTTTGATAGATAGGATAGCTTAATTATTGTTTATGTTCTATGTTTTATTACTTGACATGGAAAATCCATGAATTGTTAACATTTTTCTCTCGGAAAAATGATCTGTTTCTAATATCGTAACTAGTATTCTCTATGGCTACAGCTAGGGGGGATGATGAAGTGCTACTAAGACCAAGTTGGATCACATACTTTTTTCATTTTGCTAGCATATTATGACCAACATTTTTGAAGTAAAACAATATTATTAAACGATTCATTGGGACATAAAATTCAGTTCTTCTATGGTTACTATAGGTCTGAATTATTCGATGCTATCAACTTTATTGAACGAATTTAAGTTTGAAACATTATGAGATGAAAAACATGTACACACATGAATTTAGGCATTGGAAGTGAATTTCAAGAAATATGCCATCAGTGAGATGAACTTTTCTTTTCCAAGAATTAAACCCTAAGTATCATTGTTTATTTTCACATCTAGTTCATATCCCAGTCTGATAAAGTATTCTAAACAGTAACAAATATAAATGTTAGCAGGTTTTGATTTCACAACTTTTTATTAAGCTTTATTTCATAGCCAGTTGCTCAGAGATGAATGATATCCGCCTGAGACATTGTGAAAAGTCACTGCTTAATAACATAAGTAGAGCCAAAGGTCGATCAAGCCTGAGGTAAGAATACAATTTTTCTTTTTACCTGCCATATTTTTATTGTTATACTGAATATAGACTTCTCACAACAAACATGAGTAAGTTCTAGGAAAGGAGAATTTAACTGTGTTGTATTTTGTTAATCACATCTTTCACACTAAATTTCTTTTTTCCACGATATCGTATTTTCTCACTCTTTCTGTTTGTGTCTTTGTGTTATCAATTAACCTCTAAATAATGGCAATTTACTTTAGACATTTCCTATTAAGTCGACTTTTTCTAATATTGCTCATTTAGCGAAATGACCGATCCTTTCGAAACATATAATTGAGTCTTATTTACATCTCATTTAACACGAATTATCCAAAGTAAGGTACTCACACAAATTTCTTGACTCGGAACCGAAAGTAAAAGACAAAGCATTATTCAACTCGCTTTGAGTTTTCTACCCACTTTTTGAGGACTTATCTATTCAGTTGCTTCAGCTATATATATATATATATATATATATATATATATATATATATATTTCTGGCATCTAGATGCGAACTGTAGTAGAAGAGGTCGTACTTCATTCTTGTTGCTTGATAATATCAATCAAGTTCTTGTAACATATATTTACTATAAGTAATTAATCAATAAGAATGATTATTTATCTTTCTAAAAACTTTTATTAGCTTTATTCAGTATTATATTTTTGGTAAAATATAGGTTTCTCAGCACAAAGTATTACAACAAGTTTCCGTTTCTTACTTCTTGGTCAATCCTGACGATAAAAATTGAGTGATCGTCAGTTAAATGTTAGCAGTCTAGGAAATCGACATCGAAATAATGTACACTCTTTTCCGCGAATATTGCCAACAACCACGGTATCTCTGATTGGGCCTTTTGTAACTTTTAGAACAAAAGGTTGTACACTTTTCAGAAACGCACCTGAATAGGTTACGTGATTAATAGACATAATGATGTATTAAGACAAACAAAAGTAGATAACTTGTTGAAATATCTAGATGGCAGGAACAGGTAGCCTAGATGTTCAAACAGGCCGACAAGTTATATCAAGCTCCCAAAATAATGAGCTTAAATACATAAAATATATTTAAGCATCAAAAAATCATCTAATGACTATTGTGCTTATAAACAAAGTATTTGTCTAATATAATATCTAATGAAAACTAAAAGATAAACTTCAGCGGTAAAATTACTGGAAACAAAAACGAAATAAATAGTTATTTTGACGTATTTTTGAACAACGTTTGTTGTAAATTATATTCTATGTCCACATACTTTCTAATTTACCTTTAAACTAAGTAGTGTTTCTAGCACATACAATGTATACTTGGTTCCTGAGTTTAATCATTTGATGTACTATATGTGTTACTCATTACTCTTAAGAACTTGTGGAATATTTAATCATCAACTAGGAAACTTAACTTTCCATAGCTATCTAAAACAATTTTCTGGCCGCTCATTGTAGATTCCCGATTCATTCAAGAATTAAAAATGCTTCCTTAAAAGTTGTTTGTCTAATACAAGCTCAGCTAGGCCAAGTTGCAATAAAAGATTATTCATTGAAACAAGAAAGTGAGAAAATATTACAATCAGCTTTGCGTATTTTGAATGGTACGTTTATTTACTTATTTACATTTGCTTTTTTCTACAGTCGACATAGAGAATTTACTTTTTGCCTGCATTGCCATAAATTTTGATCTGTTAGTAAATAATTGTTCTTATGTTTTCTAAAATAAATTGAATCATCGATATCTGCACAAGATACAACTTATTGAATCCAAAGTGATCACATATCTTTACGATATTGGCTCCAGGCCTGGAATCATGATGACTGTCTCTAAAATAGATACGTGCATACTTCAAATTTGTTGTACTAAGTTGAAATTGTTTGTTCCAATCCTAAAATATACGTTTAGAGGCTGTATATTACCCGTACTCTATGATTAGACGATTGAAGCAACCTATAATTTATCAGTATGGGATCCTATATTTCTTAATAATATAAAGAATGATAATCTGTAAAATAGATCACACAAAATTATATCTGCAGTGAAATAACAAGTTGTCTCATTCACATAGTTTGTTAATGACGGAATACGTAAATCTAAATGTAATCAATCTTCAGCCAAATAATCACTTTATATCTGTTTTACTTCAGTAAACTCAACCTGTCTTCTTAAACTTCTTAAAATGGCTAAAATCAATGAGTAGGTTCAGAGTCACATAAAGCATCTTTTATGACGTCCTTAGTTAGTCCATTTTCGTCTGGTTATTAAACGTGTCATATTGACCTGCTCAATTATTTTATGACCATCCTATGTACTTTGTCATTTATGACTATGTAAACTACATCGTGTACGCTTTTACGTGTACTTACCTCTTGTATGTCTGTTGTTTATACTTCGATGAATTTTCTGTAATTTATTCTGAGTCTCTCATTATTTATTGAATAGGCCTATTTGCCATCCTCGAATCATATCACTTATCGTCTGTTTACATTTATGGACCTCTAAAGTATAAGTATCCAAAACCACTATGGTACTCAACTTTTGATGAACCTTTGTTCTAAACGTGTTAAGCCGATAGAATATAAATGGAGTTAATTGAGATACATACATTTCATTGGATTCTTTGTCGTCACATCATACCGAAGTCAAATGGGTCTTAAAATGATGAGCCCGAGACAGATGAAAACAGCCAATGCATTGACGAAACATCGTTAAGTCAATATGATTTGTGACTGTATGTGTGCTTACTGTGTTGAATTCTTTATCTTCTAAGGAAACAAGATGTTATGTTGTGTGTTCGTCGACTGAGTCAGTTGCGTCGCATTCACTGTTCGAATGCGTGGAGTTCGGAAGGTTCTTCGTTGGCTCATTATGGAAGGTTGTATCTTGTTCAAAGTCCGATTATTCGTCTCTCGATCACATCTCTAACGTATCTCGTTCTGTTGGTTTGGGATTATCAAGCGTTACTTTAAGTTCTAAAGACCGTCAAAAGCTACATTTTAAGAAACTAAATTATTTTTCATTTTGAATTATATAAATCATTTCTCTTCAACACCAACTGAACTATGTAGCCAGGTTAATATTTTGTCTACCTTGACTCATAATCGTGAGTAAATGATTTTGTGACAGTCTTTAGGGAGTTCACTAGAATCTTATAATATATTTGGCTTTATATTTTTTCTAATATTCGTTTGATTAATTAAAAAAATACTAATTTCTTGTTCAAAATGTTTATTTCAAGAAAACCACATAAAAATCATTACACAGTAATAAAACTACTTCTCAAATTATGTTGTTTATATCAGTGGTAAAACAAAGGAACGTCCCCATAACCTGATTGAAATGTTTCAAACTCATTTATTCTATCTTCAGGTTTTCAGAGTCAAGAAAACGAGATATCACAAAATAACACGGAAAGTAGTGATTTCAATATTTTTAAAATCAGCAGTTATTATGAAACATACAATAACATGTAATAAAGAAAATCAATAAAAGTTGAATCGACTAGAAAATGATAGTTGGACCTACTAACAAGGAGATTAAACTTGGACTTTCTAGAAATATAGTTTTTATTGATTTTACCAAGATTTTACAGATACTCATCAAATGAATAGAGATAATTTAATATTTCAGTCAAAAATGATAATAAGTAATCTACTCACTTGCACACATTTGAATCATACACATATTTATTATTATTATTTAAATGTTCTAAGATAAATTATATAAAATAATTACTTTTTCTGAAATGATAAGTTAGGTAACGCCGACAAATTACTTTCAAGTGTTCCTACTTTAGTGATACACTTTGAACCATAATTAATTAGTCATTTTCTTTTTAGGTTTAACTGGTTTGTTATGGCTTTATGACTGTCCATCGAATATGTATTCTAAAAATCATGAACGAAATTCAGATAACTCAACAGTCCCCTCAGTTGCAACGAAATATCCATCTATGTTGAGTGCATTAGAATTACGTAAATCTGTTCATTTTCGTCGTTGGTTAAATTATCCACTTATAAATTTATATGGTTCATCTTTACTGACTGAAATGCAAATTGAAAAATTAATTGAAGCTAAACTTATAACCTGTAACGCCATTCAACAGACTGAATCTAGAAAATTAGAACATGTAAGTGCGGTTTCATTGTTCAAGTTTGACCTTAAATATGATGGTTGTGAGCAGTTTTATCTTAAACATGTGATAATTTATTGTGTAAATAATGTGCAATCAAACAAAAGTTCTACTTTGGCTTAGTAATGAAAACATGTATGTTGACAAGATTACTACTCCATAATGAAAATATATCTATTATTTCAATGATATAGCGTATATCTAGGGAATGGATTTCTGCAGTCCTCACTGAGAATGTATCAACATAGACCGTAAGAAAAAATAATAGTATGGTGGAGTTTCGTCCTCAGTTCAGAGAACAATGCTCCATCAAAATCATTCAATATTTACCACCATCAGACATCTTGAATAATCGTCAGGTATAACTGGATTATCATTTTTAGTGTTATAATATTAGCTAGAACAATTAGAATATCTTCTCGAAGAAATCATTTACTTAGCCTGTACATTCATATTTATATTTGTTTAGTAAATATACAGAGCCATAGAAATTTAAAGCAATTAGTGCCTTTTATACATTGGTTTGAAAAATGTTATATATTTGTGCCATACATTTCTAACAATCTGGTCACACATATACTTGCCAAGCGATTAATCAAGGTCAATTAAATAAATGTTCAAGTAAACAAAATAATAATTATCAGAATGGGGGGTGGAATTGGTAGTATTGTAACTCATAAATTAAACTGTTACAAAGTAATGATGATAAATAAAGGAGAGAGAAAAAAATTAACGTCGTATGGAAAGAATAGGAAATTGTCGTATTAACCTAGGACATAAAATGACCTGAAGATTTCTGGGGCAAATTCAAATTTATTACAAATTGTTTTTGTGAACATAAAGAGATTTACATTTATGAATAACCAAGGCTTCTATCACCCTGAGAATTCCTCGATAATTCTATACGTTTTAAAAGCTATATTGATATCGATTCTCATCCCTTCCAATTATGTACTTTGTTATTGATGAACATGGTTTTCTACTTGCCACGTTGATCAAAATATTTGACATTAACTGATTTTGAAACCATCTAAGTACATATTCCATAAACCTTGTTTATAATGTTTGATTACTTTTCCCTATGTATGTGTGTCCACACAAACATGTAAATTGGTAAGTGCATTGGGAAGTGACATAATCTTTATTGTATTGTCTAGATTTACTTGGAATCGTGGGCTTAGTCCAGTTTAACAGCGTTATAGATTTTCTCTATGTCTGCTTTTAGTTCCTGTCTTAAAACCACACTGTTAAATTCACCTCTAAAGGGTAGATTGATTTCTATCAGTCGTTGATAGGAGGAATACAAATGAACTTATTACTCAAAAACAATTTGTTCACAACTGTCTAATCAAGCTGGAACTACGCATTTATTATTATTGTAATTAAATTACCTCTTGTTTCATTTTTTCATCCCGGAGCAGATTCTTAATGAAGCACCACCGTATGGAAGAAAACTGCTTGAATATTTAGATAGTATTCCTAAATATGAACTAGAAGTAGAACAAGTAAGTAATATATTTGTCTGTAAATAATAATAGTTTTGATAACTTTTACAAAAGTGGTAAATAATCTGAAGGTGAAATTATGGTACCACTAGCTAGTCTAAAGGGAATCCATCCATGATTTGTCTCGACTCAGTTGAAAATGTGTATTACGAGTTTTAAAATACCATAAAGTTTGATAAAAATGGGTCTACTATTTATCTTTGAATTTTCATTCAAATTGAAATGAATAATTTTATATTATTGTGATTCAAAACGTATTTCATCTATGTACCGATGGTATAAGTTGAGAGAGCTTGTGGGAAGTAAACGAATAGTCATTTTATGCCATCCTTTTATATATGTGCCCCTCAAGTTTGATGTGAGGACAATTCATGGATTCAGGAATGTGAAAAAACCACTAGCGGTTAACAGTTAGGTTGGTCTGGTCTACATCAGTCAATATATTGTCAGTCTGTAACTACTGTCACAGAAAAACCATTATTTATAACATTTTTTAAGATTTAACATTATTATTCCTTAATAATAGTTTCGTTAGTCAGGACGACCTAAAATATAATATAGAACTTTCTTCACAACGGAAAAACAATATTTCGATATCGCGCAACCGGCTTTATTGTTGTCGACAAGTGTAATATATAATGTGAAATCCAGTTGTGAGTTTCCATAAAGAAGATGATCGATTGTGACAGAAATAGAAAGGATTTAAGGAAACTAAATCAGCCCAATACTTATCATCCAATAAATTCTCTCGTAACAACTATATTTAAACTTAAATGAAGTTTCGGTATTTTAATTTTTGGAGTTACTTTTTCATGAACAGTAGGTTGAAGAATCCTTGTGAAGCGTTAGATGTGCCCCAAACTTTTTTGATGTTTAATCATATTTTTTTTGTTATATACATAGCAATTTATGGACATATCTAAAACGTCAAAATTAAGCATCCCAACGGATGTGATCAGATGATAAACTAACTGGTGTGAAGAAACAATTAGTAGTTTGAGTCAAATGACCACTCATTACCTTATATTACATCACATCTGTATTTGACTACAGACCCTAATACTATCTATCAAAAATGACTCGCTTTTAGCAGTTACGTTTTGGATACTTGTCAAAATAAATAAGCAGATTCTTTTCGTAAATCATGATGACAAGATACAACTAGTTGTGAGGTTTAAATTCTGTAAAAGTGCATAAAATCCCTTTTGAGAGATAGTGCATAATGTTTATAATGATGCATCGAAGACTACAGTCTCTAAGTTAAACACCCAGAGTTTATTTTATTTTTACGAAGGTCAACATAAGAACTGATTTGTTATCACTTCTTGTAATATTCTTATGCTAGTGAACCAGGGATTTTTCTCGAAATTTTATGAAAACCTTCTTGACTAATTATTATTACAATAGTTGAAATCATGAGTCAAATGAAGCTAGACCACTATGGAAAACCTGGAAGCACTGGACGGCCGTCCTGATAATTATTATTAGACAAAGAAAACAGTTGGAGCCTATGATTAATGAATAATAAGGAGATTCCAATTAATATGAACCTATTACATGGACGATACCAACGACATATTATTGTCTCGAATCGAAGGACATCGAATTATTATACTGGCGTATTTAGGAACATAGTTTAAAGTATTACAACTCTATTTACAGAACATAAATTCGATTTTGGTGGGAAGGTATTCATATGCTTATGAAAGTTTTCTAAAAGAACGAAATTTGTGTTTAGTGACAAATAAGTTATTTATGTTTTTTTTAAAAATTAATAAAAGATAGGTTCAGTTTAAAGAGTTACAACGGTTATATAAATCCCCTTGTAGTTTATTAACAATTTGCCTGAATCTTACCATTACTATTTGAAAGAATGTGAGATTGTATAGAACTGTTTCTGACTTGTAAAATTTGTTTTACGTTCTTTAGAAGTCTGGTTACGACTCAACAAATATTGGACTGATATTTACCATTACCCAAAAGAATAACTGTAGAGATTGTGCAGTTTTATTAGTAGGAAGTGCAAAAAAATATCTAGTTAGAAAATGGCTACTTGAGTAAGTCATTTTTCCGACAGACTTTTTATGACTTCTTTTTATTTTAAAAAGCCAATGAAATAGGATTTCGTAAATTTTTTGATTGATAACTTGAGAATACATGATATGTATGTTAAAGTTGTTCAAAGTACAATACTAACTTAGATAAATTCTGGAATATGATTAAAAATGATAAGAGGAAACACAATATTTACAACTGATTGATCACTGGGCAGTGGCCAATATCATTTATGTCATTTGACACTCAGTAGAAACGTTTGCCTGTAATCTTGAGGGAAATGATGCTCCCTGGTAGATTTGATCCAATGTCACCCAGCTCAACACAATGTTTTCAATGTTGAGTCAATTAGAATGGGAACTAGCTCCAAACAATACCAACTTACAAGAAATGGATTCATTTTTCTTGTAGATCCTCGAAATTTAAAATGTTTTTTTATCAGTCCTATGAAGTGATTACATAGGCATAAATACCGAAACTTATTCGTCCTAATCACTTTATAAGTCTAATACATCCATATACAAATCAAATGGGTTAGTTTGATAGGAAGAAAACATGTTGATTTTCAGTCTAAAATCTAGAGACTGTAAGTATGATAAAATCCCGAGTAAATTACAAGATTCTAACTGTTTGACGGGGTAATTAGAAACAATATATGGTTAAATGTGACTTTACTAATGTAAAGATAGATCCGGGATCTGACTCCAGTGAGGTCGTTTCTGATTGCTATTGAGATATACGTATCGTCATTCCTCGTATATAGTTATCGACTTAACTCACGTTAGTGAATAACGGAATTTAAATAAGCCAAATAGGAGAATGAATTTTGAATATGTATATTTGATTTGAATAGGCAACTGGGGAATGCAGCGAAATGACGCGCAGTGGAGAACTCATGTGAGCCGAATCCATTTAACTAAGCGTTAATCAATATTTATAGTCACACAAAAATAAGCTACAAACACGTGATGAATGGGATAAGAAGGGCACACACATATGCGCTCATATAAAAACAGCCAAGATTGATAAGCGAACAGTTAACATGGTCAAAATGTGAATGAGATGGGCTTAACATAATAACCGACACTACAATGTTTCATAATTTAAAAAGGACTAGTAATTTTATGAAACAAAATACAATTTTCCTAGTGAATGAAAATCAATTTAAAATTTTATATCTTGAAACGATCTGATTCAGTAAACCATAATTAACATTTGATTAGTGGTTAATCAGCTTAATTAAAAGGCCTTAACTACCATAATTAATTCTGCGACGACTTCATTTTCATAGTATTGAATCATTCAACTATAAATAAATTGTTTCTATGCCTTATTAGTTAATAATTCACTAAGTAATCAGCAAATAAGTGATTTTTATAGGGATAATCCTAAAATTTATTTTATTCTTCCAATATTTTTAACTGTTACTTATTTACTGTAGATATAGAAACTCGGATGAAACTAGCGTTATTACAAGACAATTGGAACTTCCGAATGATGAAGCGTTGAACCCATTAAGTATAAGCTTGATTAGTGTAAATTATGGTAAGCTATTGGTAATTATAATTTTTGAAATTAAGATTATATTTAATATGAACTTATTTAGAATCCAGTGATCTATGTTGTACAAATGAATTGCGTTTAGAAGTAATCGTAGGCAGTTGAAAACGATTTTAGAAATAACGTGATGAGTTGCCAGACATGACTGTAGTTCCCAAGTTTTGCAATTATATTTTGCTTTGCTGAAGTTAAGTGCATTTACAGTAATCGATTCTTTTTTTCAACTAGGAGGTGTGGATCTCCATACGAAATATCACTTTATTTCCTTATCGAATAAGTATGATAGACTAACTTCAACTCCGAACATATCAACCAAAGATTTCATTCAAAATGAATTATCGATTGGTTACACAGAATTGATCACACAACAACGTCACTCACCAAAAAGAAATACTGACAACACTAATGGTAATAATAAACTAAATTTATGGCCAGAGCCTACTTCATCATTCATAAATAATATAAACAGATCGAATGATAAAAATAATAACGATACCTTTTTGAATTTAAAACTGCCTTTAACTCCAATCTTCAATAAAGCAAAACAATCAAGTAAGCAAAATTTGAAATTAAAGAAATGTACAATGAATATTCAAACTTTACGAAATCAAAAAGAAATACATTACAAAACACCATTTACATTCAGATGGACGCCGATAAGTGATACGAATGAACAACAGTCACCTAAAACTCCCTTATTACAAACATCTATACTTGATTATGTGCGGAGTAAATGTAAGGTGAGTATAGTTTCACATTACTCAATGATGAATTTCAATTCATTTAAATCTCATACATGTTGTACAAGTGAGAAGCTATCTGTACTCAGTAGCTAAGTGGATATCACAATGATGTGTAAGGCAAACGATACTAGGTTCGAGTCGCGTAGTAAACATTAACTCCGGGGTGCAAACGCATCCAACCTACGAGTTCTAAAACGGATAAAACGCGCGTTCTGGATTCCATTAATAACCACATTCCATCTGTTTTATGTTTACTCAATACTCGTTTAGAGTTAGTGTAGTAGAAATTATAAGTTGTGAACTGAGTGAGACCGTTGGGCAAGTCTCAGCCTGATAGAGATTATCTTTATACTATGGTTAGCTGGAGGTTGGTAACAGTAGTATGAATGTAGAGGCATCGATGTACAGTATTTAGGTAAGAAACTAAATCTAATTAAATTTCATGATAATATATACTTAAGTTTGAAACATTTATCCTTCAGGTTTATTGTTTAAAGAATATATTAAAAATCTGTGTGCTTTGAGAATAATTAACCATGTTCATGGTTTGAGGTAAGTAGATGACTGATCGATTTCAAAAGTAGCCAAACTTTGTTTTATAGAATTTCAGTAAGCAGCATAGGGTATATAAAAGCTAAAAATGAATCAGCTTGAACTAATTCAACGACATCAAGAGTCAGAAGTATCAGTATTAATAACTAAGATTGAATACTCTAGTATGAACACTTAAATTTGTTGCGATTTTATAGCCAAATTTCAAATAAATACTTAGCTTACACGTTTCTTGTTGACTTGTACATGTTATTAAAATATATGTAACATCCTGAAAAAATCTTATACCTAGTTTATGGGAGATGCTAATAATAACTAGTTAATGGCTATCCTTATATTTTTACTGATAAAATCTAGTAGTTCTGAGGAACCTCAAGTTATAAGAGAAATAGGGAACATTTCAATCACCTTAGAGTACTTTAAAACAGACATAAAAAAATTGTATCTGACAGAAAACTATAGTTGATACTTGGAAAGAGCATACGAAGTTACCATTGCAATCAAATGATTTCATTTCACTATAAATAATTTTAGTTATTGGTAAAATGTACATTACTAACATTTCTGTTTAAAATGGTGTGAAATACATGTTCAGCTTAAGTTATTCAATGGTCTTAAATTTAAATTGCTGTATATTGATGATAACCAGAAAATTGCTTAACAATAAAAAAACTACTCGTTTCATTGTCATTTTCATGCCTAAACAAATTGTAAAATTTAATTAGGATTCAAGATTAACTCTTTCAACATACAAACAGACAACGAAAGTAAAGAATTATTCTATATCAGAATCATCTGATAATGATGAACCTTCAATTCAAAAAATAAGTCGTAAACGATTTAAATGGGATCCAGAGGATAAAATTGCAATGGATATAGATTTGAGTCAGAGTTCAACGTTCACCCTTACACCTGTATTAGATGGATGCAGTTATACAAAAGAAACACCAGCAATTCCTTATATATTATTAAAAGATAATACACCTGATTTATCCTCCATACAAAGATCATTTATTAACCACGATCTCCTTTGTGCGTCATGTCCACCTATATGTGATGGATCTTCGAAATTAGGATACTTATCTAAGAATTCAGTAAACTTAGAATCAGTGCAAAATCAAAACTCATCATTATATTCGAATATCAAACAGGAAACTGAATTAAGATCTGATTGTTCGATCAAATCCGACTGCCTAAATAATAACTACAACATAAATCACATGCATGACGAGGAATCAGTTAAATACGACAACGATCAAATTTCAACACCGATAAAAATGGTGCAATACAGGCCTGATTGTACAACGAAAGCAAAATTCAACGAACATGATACAGTTGTATTAACTGATCTATCAAAATCTAATTTTCCACTTCAACCGTATACGGTAGATATTGCAAACTGTACTCCTCATCGAAAAGAAAATTCTACTACTGTTATGACAGAAATAGAATCAAATTTTGGCAATACTGGAAATTCAACTCTTGAAATTTTGGAATTAAATGAAAAAAGTTTTAATAAACCTAAAGATTTGAAAGTTTTAAAATCAGTTCAAAATAATCAATCTAGAAAGATGAATGAATGTACACTACAATTACAAAAGAAAATAACATGGTCAAAAGATATCACTGTCAACAATGCGATTCAGAAAAAACAGAAAAACCAATGGAAAAATGAAAATGATCAATTATTATACGAATTAGAAAAATCATTTTCGGTTGATTATCAACTAATTAACGACGGATGGTGTGAATTGGCATGTTTAATCAAATTTTCTGAATTAGGTCTACTTCACGGTATGTTTGAGTATTGCCTAGGTGTATGCTTTGTTAATGAATTTTGAGTGAAACTGTTTTCAGTAGTCATCTTTTATGCCACATTATCAACTTTAGTTCAAGAAGTCAAGTGAGACTCCTAACATACACACTTTGCAGTTCAAAGTCTAGTATATCTCTGGTATCGTTGTTAATCAGTTTTATTTAATCTAAATGAAGCTTGAAAACACCTTCAAAACAAAATTAAGTTATTTAAATGATTTTATAGTTTCAATCACACAGCATTTCTAGATCACACTTTAAGACTAACGATATGGATTTAACTGTTAATTCTTAATTTTTTATTGCAATACAGCTAACATGTTGTTTAGAAAATCATAATCACACTTTCTTTTAAAAACTTTATAAACAGATAATTCGGAAAAAGAAAACTAATTTCGTTCCAGGATATCGTGGAATTATTTTATCACACAATACTTTTCCATTATCCAACCAAAATCCCCGACTTTAAAGTTGAAGTGAAGGAATATTAGTTGATCGCTTACATCGGTTTTACTAGAACATAAGATAGAGCATAATGATTGCAGTAGTTAAACATGAAACAAAAATACACAACTTTCGACCATCACAGTCTAACTTTCTAATCAAAATTTTAGAAGAGAAAGGGTATTAGGAGAAACTGATCGATTCAGTAGAGTGATGGATTACAAAAACAGAAGGACTTGTTTGTATTCGTCACAGGTCAAGTAAGCATTTAAAGATGGACGACTAATCTAGGGTGATTACAGAAAATATATCGATTTTTCTATCAAATCTAAAAGTTTATTCGATGTTTCTTTTTATTCAATAGAACAAATAAAGCCTAACTCCATATCCACAGGGACAGCAACTCCTCAACCTTCTTGCTCCGAAATGCAACTCCAATATGAAAAGGATAAAGAGGAAAAGCGAGTGTACAATACAAACATACCGAACAGTGCAGTAAGTTTTATTTTCACTCTTGCTGACAAGTGCATAGTAAAATAGGTTATTTTGTCATTACTACGATTACTAAAAACTTCAAGTGTAGAATGTAAGTTACGTAATAGTTTATAAAATGAACTGTTTACTTTACTCAGTGATGCAATCGGTTTATGTCAGATGTTATCTAGAAGATAAAAGATAGTTAACCGAGTTATAATTTCTGTATGAACCGAATAAGTTGCCTACAATATGTGATATACATGCTTTCAAATGGAATGCTGGCTAGTTTAAGGTTAGGTAAAAATACGATGACTTCAACCATAAACACGGTTCCTAAAACCTGGTTTGCATCATACAAGTGATCATAGACTTCATTACGTTTCTTGAAAAATAAGTACCGACAGTTCTAATTTCTAATATGGGTTCACAATCACTCACTTTTTATTTACATTTCAAGAATCTATCAAGTTTATATTTTGGGTGGATTCAGTAGTGTTCATTTCTATATTATTCCACTTTTCATATATAAATGTTCTAACAATAAGAGCCTTCAGTTTACCAGTGCAACAAGTGATAGACAAAAAAACGAACTTCGGCTTGAGAGAATTTGTATTTCAAGTTTTTTTTACCGAACTTTTTCTACAGAAGGTAATCTTTTTAATATAGTGCATCACATCTTGAGAGATAAAGAAGCATATGACATGCATCGATTTTGATATTTTATATAGTTGGGAAGCAAAGCCACACAGCATCCCAAAGTGTACCTGAGCATCATGAGACTATTGCATTCTTTGATTTTAGGGAGATATACGGCAGTGAAATTAAAATACGTTTGGTCATTGAGTGTGGGCAAACAGGCACTTAACATACTGATTATTAAATAAGTGATTTCCTTTCCTCCCATTGATTTCTACTCCGGACTCACTGAGTGTGACTGCATGTGTTGAATAAAGTATTATCTGGTTCTCTATTCAGAGTCGTGAATCCTGGATCTGATATAAAGTGGCTATTCGCATTATCGCGGCATACCTGAGAGAAAAATAATTCATTATCAGTTTTATTAGATTATCTTCTGTTATGATGACCGAATATATAGTTCGATGCAAACGCTTTAACTGGTTATTTGGTGAAGGAATAATTGCTGGGATTTATTGGTCAACAAATAATATGAATCGTATGAAATCATATTTATTTAATAAACACTACTGTGCCTGATAGGGGTCCATAAGATTGTCGTAAACAATGGTTGGTGACGTTGAATGACATGGCTTAGAATCTTTCGAAATGGCACAGATACATTCATTCTGTCTTTCCTATAATCCTGAGCTTAAAAAATATCTTACACCTTTTTATTCCACGAACTCACTTGTGTCGAATAATAGCGCCTATTTATAATCATTTCTATTGCTAATCATACTATTTCTACGACTCTGGGATTTATCTTGATAATTTCATCTTGCTGTATAAACGTGGTATAAGAAATTGAAACGAAACAGATAAGGTTCGGGTTCAACGTTGCATGTGATCAACTTGTTGCAAATGAGAGCTGAAGCCCTACTTCACAACTGATAAAATAAGAAGAACCATGTTAGACCAATTCTGGTAAGCAGTATAGAGTAATGGTATTTGAATATTGTTGTAATAAAGAATTTCAGTGGACATGACCAAACTTCAGATCGCGCTATAGGCTTAAATCATAAGAATATCCTTAATATTCTTTGTATTGAATCTAAGCAAGCAAATATCAATTATCCCATAATAAAACTTGTACTCATATTATGACAACTAATTACAGTTTTATCCGACTGATATATGTAAACCTAAGTGCTCGACATATTTTTCTTAAATCTCAACACACCTATGAGTAGAATAATCGAGGAAGGTTGCTTTGAAAGCATTCTTTATCAGTTGTTACACATTAATTATGTATTTCTTTTCTTTAACCGATAGCCAACTACATTAGCTCTTAAACAAACTGGAATTGGAATATTGGATTTATCTCTAACTCCTGATTCATACATTAAAGAAGAATGATTTACATAAGACAACTCTATTATTATTGTTAATATTATTATTATTCATGTACATACATTGTTACAAAAATTATTAAATAATGATAAGAGATACTGTGACATTTTGTTATTGACTGAAACATTTTGTAAACAAAAGTATCCTGGCGAAAATGTATGATGTTTTTTTGTTAGGAAAATATGTTTGACAAAAAAGTTACTGAAGATCTCTATCACAATTAGATTATTGGAAGGTTTGATTAGTTCCTCATATACTAGGTGGGAAAAAAATAAATGAAGGTTTAAAATAATGAATTATTTGAAAAAAAACTTTATAATCGGTAAAAGTTTTTACCTACAGAAAGAACACACTACTGAGTTTCTCTATCCATTTATGTAGAACTGTTTTGAAAAATACCTACATATAATACAATTACAAACTGATGTAATGACTAAAGTCGAAAGAAATTAGAGATCATGACAGGATACAAAGCAGCAGCTTACCAGAGTAGAGCATTACATATAGTGAACCTGCGAGAATCAATAAATCGCAATGTATGGTGTAATGCCCAGCTACATAAGTTGCTTTGACATCTAGTAAACATAGTAACACGATTTAGATGTTTAACACAAGTTTACTTACAACTAATCATGAAAAGATACTAATTAATCTCAAGTACTACAGCTTTCATTGTAATACGCTGTAGTTTTTGACCAGAAGGTGTGGGTCACATGAAAGTATGCTAGGTTCTTATTTTCCTAGTTGTTACTGATACGGATGAGAGCTATGATGGAAGCAAACAAGACTAACTGATACATGTTAGGTATGCCTAACCACAGATTACCATAATGCTCGATCCTAGTTGACATATGATTAGTATGGGGAAAAAACTGAGGATCTACGTCACATCGATAGGTTCAGACATTCTGGTTTGGATCTACACAATAATCCTAAGCAATGGTTGAGTAACATGTTGTAAAATCCGTTGTAGCAGAGTGATTACACTTATTCTCTAGTTTCTTATAAATCCTTTGTTAACTACCATCTTTAACATGAAATTCTTCAATTCCATTTGCTGGTTATAAACAGAATTTTTTATGTTCAGATTTCTATTGTTTTTCATACGATTTACTTCCCTTAGTTTCTCATCTAAAATTTCCCTCTCCTTGTGCTGATATTAAATAAGGTAACTTGGCCCGATATACATTTGTATCAGACTTGATGTTGATGTCTAACTGAAAAATCCATAAATAAAACCTTAATAAATACATGCAACAGCTCATTTACCCATGAAACTATTTGAATTTCAGCAAGCATATGAAACTAACACTATAAATCTTTCATTAGAATTAGACTATCAAAGCAATTGAAATATAACTAATGAAAAGAACATGAAAGGAAACAATCTACGAATACTATCGAAGAAGTATCCTTCTCAAACACAACAATCAAATCGCATATCAATCTATCATCTATTAAGACAAAAGTGTTGCCAAAGAAAATTTTGTCTATATACGAATGTGACAAGTTATTTAGTTTCGTAAACAATATTTGTTTCATGTTAAGAAAAAAATATGAAATTGACTATTCCCAACATAATAGAAGTTATTTACTTGTACAATAGTGTGTATTCGTTCCATAATATCAGGTACAATAGCCTTGATAGATTCAGTCATACGATTAGCCAGTCGACTAACAGCTTTCTCTTCGGATTGATGTACACAGAAATGTTCTTTTAAAAATTCAGATGCATTATTTTGTTGACCATTGAAACTCTGTATTCCTGTGTTTGACATTAAGGAAAATAGAGTCAAAAATAAATTCGCGTGCCTGTATATCAATAAAAAAAATAATAATAAAAGGAATTGTTAACTACAATTGGTAAAAGTATTAATACTGTATAGATAACAGATGAACAAATAATTAAAATTAATTTTGACCCGAAAGTCATATGAAATTTATTATTATTATTATCAGCTTTATTCAATATTATATTTTTGGTACAATATAGAATTCCCAGCGTAAAGTATTTCAACAAGTTTCCGTTTCTTTATTCTTGGTCGGTCCTGGCGATAAATATCGAGTGATCGCCAGTTACACATTAGCAGTTCAGTAAATGAATATCAGAATAATGTGCATTCTTTTCGCTGTATATTGCCAGCAACCACATTGGCTCTTATTGAGTTTTTTGTAACTTTGACAACGAAAGGTTGTACACTTTTCAGAAACGCAGCAGAATACATCATGTGATTAATAAACATATTGATATATTAAAACAAACATAAATAGATAACTTGTTGAAATATCTGGATGGCAGGAACAGGTAGCCCAGATGCTCAAGCAGGCCGCCCTACAACTAATAAGTGAAACACGCGAAATCATACAAAGAATGGACATTTATGTGTATGGGAAAGGTAGTGTTATATCATGAAGTGAATGAAAATGAAAAACTAAAACTATGAGTTTCGGGATAAGTGGTTCAACATTAGCATTTTCTTCAAGACTACTATTAGCACCAACTGTTTAAGGTATTAAGCTGCTAAAAACTATCCTAATACCTGTCAAAGATGAGAAATCGATAAACAGTTGGATGGAAGAATTGAATACAGATCAAACCAATGAAAATAAATACTATAGTTCTTTAGAAATGAGTCGTAATATAACGATTAAACTATGTAAAACGTTTTTCAGCATATTTTATTTGAAACATTTGAACAATACAAACGTTAACTTAAATAATAACAACGTTTATATTCAAGCTAAAAACAATAATATGTTAGTACATAAAAAGATGATTAAATGTATTAAATAAATCTTTAGATTGTACCAGATTTTCACTACTTATCAAAATCATTTATCACTTACCGTCTTAAAATAAGAAAAGCTGTAAAAGTGATTTTCCAAAATTCATTAAATTGATTTGAATTTGGACCACCCATACCATCAATCATTGCACGAGTTAATCTTACTTCAGGTGCCATTGGTTTAGGATCAGCGCCAAGAATAAAACTAAAATCAATATGAAATAAATGACCATCAGCAGTGAGCAGTAAGTTCTCCATATGACGATCACCAACTCCAAGAAGATAAGTGATGACACAATAACCGGCTGTAAGAAAAGCAAAAAAAATATTGTGGTTTCCTTAATAAAGATCTTGAAGGTAGCATAAAATATTCATATCACACACTGTTAGAGGAAGAAATACCACATAGTGATTGAAAATATTTGTGAAACTAAACAATTAATTGAATCGTATGATAAATAATGATAAAATTCTCTGTCTAATGTTCTTCCACGATCACTAAACCTTCTACTATATATAAAAACTTAGTATTCATCTTATTTCACTACATTACGTAAGTATAGCGTGATAACTTAGAACGGTGCACAAATGTGCTAGTTTCTATGCTGCTTATAATTGAGTTAGAGAGTGATAAAATCGAAGACTTCAAAAGATAAATGTACAAAAACACTAGTTTACTAGTGATCTTTTCTAATAAAAGCAGCTTAAAATGGCTCAACCAAACACGATAAAATTATTGAGGATTGAGATTGTGAATTCAACTATAAAAAACAATGTAATTGAGTTGACATAGTAGATAAACGCGTGCTTTGAAGAAATACTGACATTAACTCTTCCCATACTTACACTAGTTTATTCTTAAATACTATTTCATTTGTATCGTCCTGTCGCATTCGCTTTGTTTATATTTCTCGTATTTGATAAGTTTTATCAATGAACGCTCGAATCGACTTCCTGATCGCTTTTAATAATTCCAGGCTAAATTTACACGGAAACTTGAATATAAAAGCAAAGGCGCAAAGTGTAAGAGGAAGGTTTTACTCCAAGTTTTGTTTATTTACAGAAAATCGAGGGCATTTATGGTGTTTCAGATGTCTTTGAGTTTCAGGAAGTTTCTGGAACGATTTTAAATATAGTGGAAGCACAGGTAACTATCCAATCGAAAACGTGACTCATTGCTTTCTAAATGTTTCTGAGAAGCTTCTATTGAACGCTGATGAAAAAAGGATTCCCAGCGTTTTCTGGGTCTCTATGACCTTTTCCGAGGAATACTTTGAATCTCCCCCATAGTATCAACTCCACAAAACAGGTTCTCTTAATTTAGTAAAGAATTTTTACCCTGTTGTCACTTAATACCTTATTACTCTAACCGTTTTGTAGATTAGTACTTAAACACTAGAACTATCAGAGTTATTATCGTCCTTGAACTACCAAAACAGCTAGTTATCTATAGTCAATCTATAACAATTACTATTTACACAGAATACCACTTTCATTGACAACTAAAGCGTTTTTCTGTCTACAAAGTTATTTTATTCACATAAAATGGCTTTTCTTTATAACATAAAAACATACCGCAAGAACGAATATATGTTTCCATAACATCTTTTTGAACGCCCATAGGACTATTTGGACTCGGAGCTTTTAACTGTAAATAAGCTAGTAATGTGGAACGATGAAGAATATCAGCCAATGAAATAGATTCGACAAATTGAACTAAACCTATAAGAAAAAAACATAAGAAAACTAAATGAAAAGTGATATTTTCATGTTTTATCAATACCGAAGAAAGTTTCCCGTCTGATTTATTACAGGAAAGAGTGTTACATACTTTTGCCATCACTCGGTATTTACTTTTACGATTTGTAAATTCTTTTATTTTTGCCTATTATTCTTCACCATGCTCCATTATTCTTTCTCGGGCTTCTAAGAAAAGATTTTACTTTGTTGCGAAGAGCGCTGAAGGCATTTAATAAGGTATACGGTGAATCTTTTAGTGTCTTTATGAATATGCTTGTGGACAGACATTTGAAATCTGAAGAACTACTGGCAAGTGTTACTTTACCAGACACAAGCCGTCTACACCATTCACATAGTTCTCTTTAAATATATTCTGGTTAAACAAGACGCAGGTGTAAGTAAAAATATAAAGGCTTTACTTTGCTACCTTTTGTCATCAAATTTTTACTAAAAATCCTTGTTATGCTAAAGTGTAAAATTCAGAATACGTAAAATGTTACACTGATGTATTTAAGTAAAACATAAGTAATTTACCATGACGGTTACTTGTTGCCAAAACTTTATATGGTGTCAATCGAAGGTCGAAATTTTCTTT